ATATCAACTTGCTGAAATTATTACATTCATTTCTGACTCTTGTGTATTCCTCCAGAACTTTTCTAGTTATATACTTTGTGGCCACTTGAAATTGAGAACCTTGTCTCCTCCATCTACCCACCCTTCTACATTTCTCTGGATTGCAAGACATGGTGAAACCAAACTAGGAGCTTGCTGTGAAGGATTTCAATTTGTTGAATATTTTTGCATATTTTTGCTACTGAGAAATGAATGGAAATTAGGAAAAATTTGCTTTTAACAGGGAAAGTTTGGAGAACATAAAGCTTAACCAAAAATACACAATCAAGCCTCGGAATGTTGCTTGTAGTTTATCAGCTCATTGGAGATAGGATCCACTGAACACAATGTGCAGTCCATATCCAGAGGAATAGCAATCAATCTTGGGAAGATAAGTGGCAAGTATCATTCATGCCTTACAAGTACCAAACAATGAGATCATTGCTAATATTTCAAGTCTAGATTCAAAACGTTAGCTTGCTCTCTCTCCATGGATGCTACCTGACCCGCTGTGATTTCCAGCATTTTTTGTTTTCAGTACAGATTCCAGCATCTGCATTAATTAGATCCGAAAAGATCATTGTTCCCTTGACATTCAATGGCATTACCATCACAGAATCTTCCACTATCAGCATTCTGGAGGCTACAGGGACAAGTTGGATATTGGGAATTCTGCAGTGAGTAGTTCACCTCCTGACTCCCCAAAACATGACCATCATCTACAACTCAGGAGCGGAATATTGTTCACTTACCTGAATAAGCACATCTCCAACAATGGGAATATTAGCACTATCCAGGACAAAGCAGCCCACGTCACTGGCACCCTTTCTACCATCTTTAAACATTCACTTCCTTAATCACCAGTACAGTGCATCAGGGTACGTGGTTTAAGATATGCTGCAGCGTTTCACCGTTACTTCGAAGGACGAGGGTAGCAAACACACGGGAAAACCACAACCTCCAAATTACCTTCCAAGCTACACGCCATCCTGACTTGGAACTATACCTTCTATTCCTTCACTGTCATTGTGTTAAAATCCTCGAACTCCCTAACAGCAGCACCGTGGTGTCCTGATATAATCTATGAACTTCAGCATCAAGAAGGCAGCTTACTGTCACCTTCTGAAGGCCAATTAGGGATGGGCAATAATTACTGGCCCAACCAGTCCCATCCAAATCCTGGCTTGAGGCTGGCGGGTTGGTAAAATGCTGTGGAAGATGCCAGGAGGAGAAACTTGTTAATTCCCATTGTATTACCATGGGAAGTCAATGGCCACCATGGGGTAGCCCAATTACTGGCCAAACCACCCACTTTTGCTGCATTTGACTAACCCTTGCAGATGGCAACCTGTAGTCAGAATCTGCCAAGTAAACCCTGCCATTCCTCATGGGATCCTGGCAGGGCTCGTCCTTGACAGCTGTTCCATGTCCAATCGAACTGCCCCGGCTTCAATGGCCACCTTTCTGGCTATGGATTGGCTCCTAAAAGGCTCGCCTTTCCTTTACCAATCTCTGGGGTCTGGCATCAGTAAAAGTTCGTCTAGTCTTCATAAAAGGACTCTGCATGCAGATGTCCTCTCCTTGTTCCTGCAGCTTCTAGCTCTAATGCTAACCATTGCCAGGGTGCAATGCCATTGGCTCTTGGATCAGGCCACCTCCCAGGGCTCTACTGTCATCCTGTGCCCATTAGAGTCCAGATATCAGTGGCAGCGCTGCCAGCCAGCTGAGAAAATCCAGTACAGTGAGATCATTTCAGATGTAATTAGCAAGGCCTTTGTAAAGAAGGAAAGATTACTGGCATTGAAGGCAATCCAGTGAAGGCTTACTAAATTGGTCCCAGGTGTGGAGGGATTGTTGAATAAGGAGAGGTTCAGTAGGATAGACCTGTACTTACCAGAATTTAGAAGAATGAAAGGAGGCCTCGTTGAAACATACAAGATGCTTAGGGAGTTTTACAGGGTGGACAGAGGTTGCCTCCCCTTGTGGGAGAGTCTAGGACCGGGGGTATAATTTCAGAATAAAGGGTCACTCAGTTAAGACATAGATGAGGAAGAATTTCTTCTCTGAGACAGTGGTGAATCTATGGAATTTCTTCTGCCAAGGCTGTGGGGGTTGGATGGTGAAGTATATTCAAGTATATTTTTAATCAGTAAGGGAATCAGAGGTTTTGGGAAAAAGGCTGGAAAGTGGAGTTGAGGATGATCAGATCGCAGTACCACTGTCACTCATTCACAGGTCACTCCCAAGCTGGCTACAGGTTCCTCCTAGGGACCTATGCTCATAGAACTCGATGCCCATCCCCCACAAAGCACCCTGATTCATTCTACCCTTAAGGTGGTCCTGATAAGACCAATTCCTGAAAGTCTGGTTCAAGTGGAGAATAGCAGTATTGTAGGACTGATGCTGGTGCAGCCTATGGAGGCTGAGTTTTCTCCACACACTCACGAATAAAAAAAATCGTGCTTTGTGGAGCATCACTGTTACTGATTTTCATTCCCTTACAAAAGCCACTTCTTCCTGTGCCCCACAATCAAACCAATCGCTGGAAATGGAGTGATTTAGGTTAACGTATTTAGTGCCAATTTCAGAGCTCAGAGGGTCTTTGGCATGATGGGCTGAATGATCTTGTGATGTTATAATTGTACAGTCTAATACATTTTAGCTGCAACATGGTTATCACGCGTTATAGTGCTTCATATAGATCACTTTCAGGTCATTTTTACTGCAATTCCCTTGCCTCAGAATCTCATACAACCTCAAAGTACCAGAGAAGTGCCAGCAGCATTGCTTGGAAATATCTTCCAAATTCAGTGGAAAGAAAGCAGATCTGACAACAGTGTCCTCTCCCCACCCAGTGTGCTCAGCACAAAGGTGCTAACCACTCAAAACCAGCCCCACTTGGTGGAATATGTTGCTCGTGTGCCTGAAGTCTGCCTCCTAAATTGGCTGCTCCATTTGGAACCAGTTCACAGGAGGTGAGTCTGACGAAGACATTAATGTCCTCAAAGCAACCCTGAAGGGAGCACACATCCTTGTTGACTCATGGGAGATTCTGTCTTGACCAATAAAAAGATCACTCGGCAGGGCACTGACCACATCATAAGTCTATCTGGGGAACACAGAGAGGAAGTCAAGGTATCCTAAGAGGCACACCAATCTCTAAACACCTCCTCTCACTGACCATTTCAGCATTATCTGCTCCATTTGGGAGCATTTGCAGAGCATGGATTGGATTTATCACCCTTCAGAAATCCCACTGAATCAGAGTGGAAACAAATCATTCTCAATTCCCAGGGACTGCCTAAAGAGAAGAAGTTTAGTCCCGTTGGGAATGTTAACGCGCCTTTTCCGTTAACATTTTCAGATCTGCTGTTTTTCTGTGTTTCAGATTTGTAACACTAGGTTTTTCTTTTCCTCTATGTTCAGACTCGCCCATCCCTAAGTTTAGACATATACCTAGTTGTCTTGCACGGCTATAACCTGAAGGTGGCACAGTTGCTCCATGTGAATTCTTGACACTAATACAGTCAACACTCGGTGAACACTTCAGGATTAGCTGCAGTTTAAGCTGACAGCTGTTCTCTCACACCAGCAGATTGTTTTTTTTTGCTGCAAATCAGTGCTGTGTTGTCATTAAGTTACCTTTCCAGATTGTCACAAGCGCATTCACAGGAATTAGGATAATGGTTAAAATCCGGTTTTCTTAACTTTAGTAGCAGAGAGGGGGGAAAAAGACTGAGGCTCCAAATCATTTCAGAGCACAAATCCCAACTCTGGTTTGTTCATATCTTGGCTTGGCTACAGGATCAGTTACAATAGGCAGACCTTTATTGAAAAATACTTAATTTTGTTTTAAAGTTCCTTGCTGTCTATGGAAGCTGACCCTGTTCATTTCTCAAGCTGACCTTGCTTCATGTTGTATTCCACCTCCCTTATTGCCAGTTGTTACACAGCTACATGAAAGAACATGACAAGTATAATGGTAGTGGTTAGCAGTAGTAATGAAAGGGCTGAACTCCAAAGCTGCAAACCATTATCAAAGTGTATATTCGTCTGATTTTAATACAATCTTGGGGCTCGGCTGGCTTTGTACATCGCTTTATTCTTGGAGGTTATGAAGCTGTCTGTTTCTTCTTCCTTCCCCAGCAAGACTTTGTCCTCCTTAAATCTCCTAATATCATTCTGGGTGCATGTGTCACCAATTCCATGTCATAGATAATCAAAATATGGCCATTGAAGATGTTTGGTCCACAATCTGAAATATTTGATGGAGATTTAACCCATGAGTAAGTTGATTAAAGTGATTTGTCTCAACTTTGAGATGTGGAAGGAACTAACTTGAGACTGACTTCAGAATGTGTGACGTTCATGTTGTAGTCAATCCTGGTGTATTAGAACATGTTGTGTGTGCCCAGTTTGAAATGTTTTGAAAGAAAAGTGCAAGGTGGTATCAACTTTAATGTTTCAAAGCTATGCATCAGTTTGTGGGATTTTCTTGAGGTTCTGCAATTACCCAATTAGCCAATCAAACTGAATTTGCAATATTATCTGAAGTTGCTAGTGTGTGGGATGCACATTGTTATGTGAACTCTTTTGTTATGTTTAAACAGTGCTTATAAATTCATAGTCATCAGGGGAATGCAGAATTGGAGATTGTGAGTTCCATGTCATGTGTGACGATGCCAATGAAATTGTGAATTTTCCACAATCTACGTTGTGACAGCCTCCAGCATCGCGTTGGCACAAATTGTGCACTCAAGATCTTTCTGAATCAGAGCGAAGAGTGCTGCTATCTGAGCTAGCCTGACTTTAAACAATTGGAGACTGTGCAACATTAATGCAAAGAATACATGAAGGACAAGAAGGAATTAAATTCCCTGTGTACAGGGAAGTACTAGGTGACTTAATATTAGATGGTCAGGCAACTGGAACATGATGCAGGGGAAATCCAAAAGCCACCACCTTCAATTGCTTTGAAAATATTGGAAACGTATTTTCTAAAGTACACATATGCATGTCTTTATTGTCAGTGCTCTCAGATGCCTGGTTTGACTTTCTAGGGAAGAATAATTAGTCTTGTTGTAAATAATTACAGGACACAATCACCCTGCATCTTCCAGTGCCAGCTTGAGAGCAGAGGGTTTGGAGTAGGCTGTTTGAAAGCTCCCTCACGTACTTACTCTGCCTCTTTATATGCCCCACTTTGAATGATAAATATAAACAACATATTGAAATGATAACTGAAATCAGCTCCAGCCCAGAGAGTGGCACCTTGATTTATTCAAACACATTCGTACCATTAAGCCCAGAAAGTGGCACCTTGATTTATTCAAACACATTCGTACCATTAAGTGATGTCAGAAAAATGTCAGGTTTCCACAAGACCACTGAGTAACATTAAGATCAAAGGCAGCCGAACTTAATGAGACTATAAATAAAACAGCAGCAACAACACTCAAACAATTCTCATTTTTTATGATATATATTTATTGCACAATAAATTGTTGAGGTGTCTTTAATGTTCTGACTGTGATGCATCATGCTAAACATTATTTTATTTATGAAAATCAGCCAGATTTACTGCTTAATCCTTTAGAAGAATGCCAGACAGGGGGTTCCAAGTCTAGCAGGGGGGTGGCTGTGCATTTCAATTCTTAGGGTTTATGAATAAAATCCTTTAATGTTCAGTGTCTATAATTTGTACATAATATGGGAGCGATTGTGGCATGGGTTTGTTTCCACTTTAATGAAGTAGCTGTTATGTAATATTCTAACAGGTGGTTTTACGTCTTAATAAAAGGAGGATTGAAAATAGTTCAAAACACATTGCTGCAGTGATATCCCACTGCTGATCAGTAGTGTTAAATGTTCTCTTGCAGAATTGAACTAAAATTGGAAAGCTGCTCTCTAAGTATAATGGAAAGCAGTAGGGATCACAGCTGGTGTACTGTGAACTTTCTGCAGAGCTGTTTCACTGCAGAAGGCTGGAAGCTGCTTTCTGATTGTCCCAAGGAGCTGTCATACCATAAAACTTCCCAGTATGTGTAGATTCCCTTTGAAATGGAGGATCCAGCTGCTTCCTGCCACTCCCTTCCCAGCAGGCAGTGATTCATGCTGGGATAACACTGGGTGCCAGCTGCTGTCCAACATCACAGCTTCAGCCATTGCTTAGTCAATGGCAGCACACATACCTCTGAGTCAGAAGGTAGTGTTTTCAAAATTCGCTCCAGCGACTTCGAAGCTCACATTAATAGTTCAGTGACATACTGAGGGAACGCTACACTAATGGAGCTGTTGTCCTTCATATATGATATTAAGGACACATCCTATCTGCCCTCTCAGTTCAATGTGAAATATCCCATGGATGACCTTTTCTCTACATCATTAAAATATGACCTCTTTATAAGTGCGACTTTGTGCAAATAGGCTGCTGTATTTTCTACTTTCCATCTAGACTGAAGAAGCACTTTGAGGTAGCCTCAAATTATAAATTGCAAGTTCATTCACACCTACTACTTAAACAATGAGTGCCGTAAGGAATTTTAACAAGCTAATTCTAATGCTGTGCTCACATGAAGACCAGATGGAGATAGAATGTCCCCTGGTGAATTTTGTATTTGTTTTACTCTCACCTTTTTATCCAGTGTGTATTAAGAGTAATTGTTATATTCTCAATTGGACTGGTACACTGAGCTCAGATCTGGGAGCAGTTCCAGATCCTCTTCGTCTAGTCACAGTGCACCAAGAGATGGATTTACCCAATGAGGTGAGAAATAAAAAAAAAAGCTCATGCTGGAGAAACTCAGCAGGTCTGGCAG